TTTGAAAATAACAGTTAGAAACAGACTAAACACTTGGACAACACAGACCTACCAGTCTGGGATAAAACTGCATTCTTCTTCCTCTGCCGCTTACTTAGCAAAGGTGTTAGCATTGCTTTGCCCAGGACAACAGAGCAAGCTTTGGCATAGCGTAGAACACCAGGAAAGCCAATACAGAAGAAACCAATCTGCTTTGTCCCCGGTATTAATGGTCAATGCAAAACTGACCAGGACAATGGGTTCTTGAATACATTTTTTTTATTCTGCAGAAGACACGAGAAGTTTCGTGATAGGCCATTCTCCCTCATGATTTCAAATTGAGAATCCACAGCTTTACAGAGGTCTGCACAGACATGAGTCTGAGCAACCTCATTCCTAGATGGCTCCTATTCTTCATTTACGTCTGCGCTCCCTTTATCCCTTTGTCTCATTGTTTTGGGTGGGTTTGTGGGTTGGGTTTTGATTTTTTTTTTTTTTTTTTTTTTTTTTTTTTTTTTTTTTTTTTCACATTAACCGTGTCCACAGGTCTTCTCCACAGGGTGAACTACCTTGTGTATCCTGTGTACACTTCAAAGCCTTGATATATCTTGTTTGCAGCTCTACCTCTCCCACCTCCTAACACTAACTAGGACTTTTTGTCCTCAGTCTCACCACTTTCTTATGGCAAAATTGGCTCTGTAGACTGCCAACTGATTCCTAACAATTTATTTATATGTGTAGAGCATCATGCAATTATACAATGTAAATTAAAAAGAAAATCCTCAAATGCTTACAAAATTCTGTTTCTAGTTCTCAAGAAGTTACCTTCTTGATATCCAAACTCATATCCTGATGATAGAAACTTGCAGTATAAGGAGAGGCAAGTAGAAATTTCTCATCAACTGAACAAGTTGAGCTATGCTTCTGGGTACATATTACAGTATCTTTTTCGCATCACACCTACTCTACTAAATATACAAAACACTGAGCAAGTGATAGTTTTGTCAGCCACCAGCTAATCAAATGAAAAATTATTAGGCTTAGAAAAATAATAAAAGCAGAAGCCAGCTGTGCATTTGTTGGATGAAAATCCCAGTGTCTCCCATGTTAGCTCATGTGTATTTCAATTTCTGGGAAGAAAATAATGGGAGTTTCTCCACCCTTTCTCATGTGAGCCATAAAACAGATTTATTACCTAGGATATATTCTGTGTTTTCTCCTGAGGAAAAAAGAAAGTGGTGGAACAAGTTCATTTTTTTCCCTTCTACAACTAGGATTTTCTTTATAATAAACACAGAGCTTAATTTTGGTATCATATGGCCCTTCTATTTAATGCTCTGGTCACACTTTTTACCTTTCTAAATCTTGAATTGTAGCATTTTCATTTCAGTGGGGAATCTACAGCTGCTCCAGCTGTCTGAGTGCAAAAAGTCTATCCTAATATTCCTATCTGGTATGTTTTAAAGCAGAATCCTTCCCTCCCCTAAGTGAAAGAAATCTAGCTTCTACTGGAAAACTATGGGATAACTGGGGGGGGGGGGGAAAAAAAAAAAAAGTGGCAAACTAAACATTACTCTGTATTTCTTTTTAAACAGTTCTTGCTCTACCTTATGCCCAACACCCAGCAGCTCTGGGAAACTTAGGCTGCATACTCAGAGGTTTAAGAGAGGGTTGCATCTCACCAGGGAAGGTTTTCCTGTACAAATTATTATTTTTTGACTGTAACGGTCACCTTCTGACCTTTAAAAATAAATCATGAAAGAGAAAATCTGCTGACTAAAAGATTTTTTGCTCCTAAGACTCCTAATTTGCTTACAGCATGATACTACAATTCTAAAGACCTATGCTGGTAAATCCATTTATAGAAAAGGTGCTTTCCCCTATAACTTTCACTTTTGAGATGCAGAAGAGACTGATTCATATTTTAAATGCTTCAGAATCATGACACAGCCTGGATTTACCAGTTTAGTGGTCTGGAAACTTTCAAGGCTAATACATGCCTTTTAAAATGGCATCCAGTAATACCTCTTTTTTTAAGTAAATCTGTTGACTCTAATATTTGTAGCCTAAACATGCTCTATAATCTACTCTTGATAACTAGCACCTATTGTTTAATGAGTCGCTTTTCTCAACACAGCAAACCTGACATCTCTCAAAGTTCCAGTTCTTTCAAATAATCCTATGACATATGAGTGATTACACCAAGTCATAAATGGCACTGAAACAATTTTTGAAATTACGAGCTATGCCATCATTAGCTGCATATAATTAAAATGCACCATAGAAAATACATTCACTACAGTTGTGAAATTATTTTTATTGCTTATGAACAGCAAAAAATTTCCACTTTTTAACATACAACTGTACCAGCACAGAGCTGAGAAGGAAGCTGGCTTTCTTAGGCAGAAATTGTGCAGGTTTTTTGTAGATGTATTTCTTTCTCATTGCTTTGTGATCACTTTTACTGCTCCACAGAGACCAATAATTTGGAAAAAAAACCCCAGTAGCTGAAGTAGTTTTCAAGTTATTGCTAATTTGAAACCCTTCATTTGTACTACCAAGTATATTCTAGTGCAGTCAAATGGTACTCTTACAAAAAAAAAAGTATAAATCTACCCACACAGATATATTTGGATCAAAACACTATTATCACTACTAAACTTACCTTGTTTCTTTATAAAGACATACACACAAACATGTAATACTGTGCTGAGGTTTCAAGTTTCTACAAAAGTAATGTATCAGCATTACAACTCAGAAGAGGTGTCCAAAAAAGAAAGATCAACCTTTTTTTTTTTTTAATCATTACTAAGTTTGTCTTCACAATCCCAGAAAATTCACCAAAATACATCTATAATCCAACATAGCTACAACAAAAGAATTTATAACAGGAGAGTAGTCATAGTAGACTTCTCACCAATGAAGACAGTGCTTTATACAATATAATTCTGGAAAACCAGAATCTTCAGTGTTAAATCTCCCATATTAGCTAATTAGCGACAACTGGTTTACAGTTCTTACTGTTCCAGTGAAATAGTACATTGTTATGGCTGAGCTTGCAAAGAAATACTACTCAAATTAAAAGGTATGCAAACACAAAACATAATAAAGCCTGACTTGCTATGTGATAGAAAGTAAAAAAAAATTGTCTTTTTGGAATGTAAGAACACAGGTGGGGCAGTAGTTCAGAGCTTCTTTGCAAAAAGAAACTCACAGTATTCTAAAATGGTCAACAAGGTCAGAAAGGGCACAACATACTTAGTCAACGGATTTGCTTGCTAATATGTTATGATTCTAGTATTCTAATGCTTAAAGATAAGTCTCAACACCAGTTAACCAAAACAAGACTATCTGATATTAGAAACTGGCATTTATTCCAGTGCATGCACCAACATAATTTCCATCTGCAGAATCTTTATAACTGATAATGATGCATCCAAGCCAGAACAAATGGATTTTCTGATCACAGGATATTTTTACAACAAGAAAAAACTAGTTTACCTGTAAATCAATAAAAATGTTAATAGGACTCATTAAAAAACAAGAAGTTACTCCAGTAGTTTCTTTAAAATGTAATTTAGTTAAAAATAAATAAAATATCTATACTCCATGTAACCTATGCAGACAGGAGAAATTATTAATGAGACGCTTCCCAGTCAGAGACACCCCTCTAAAAGCCTGACAGAAATGCTACTAAAATTGGAGGTTGGTGGAAGGAGCTTTGAATGACAGGTCACAAAGAGACTGTGCTAAAAAGCATGGAGAAGTGCTCTTCAAAACAATTCCCAGAGAAAAAGTTACAGATTTCTCGCGTTCTCTATTTTTACCATAGTACACACCATGCCTGTTTTTTACCTTGTTCATTTAAAAATGAAGCTACTGAATCTGAACATTAGATTACCTTTACTGTAAAGTGGCATATAAAGGGTCTGTATAAGACATTTTCTTCATTTCAAATAACCAGTACTACTGAGAAGAAAAACATATAGTAGAAGAATCCAACTGTCAGATATATGGAGATGTCATCCAAACACTGCAAGATTACATTCAGAATGCCAGCCAGGTCCATAAATTGCTACACAGCAAACAGAGCGACCATGCTGAAAGTACCTGTAAAATAGACTACGTCTCTCACACTTGCTAACTGTGCAATGACTCCGAGTCAGACTGACAGTAGAGGGAGCAAAAGCAACTAAAACCCGCTACCCAAAAACTGAAAACGTCGGTGCTGCCCCTCCGTGAATGAGGAGCCGCACACCCAGGTGATGTACCGGGGGGAGACAAACGAGCGGCGTTGATCTTTTCCCCTTCAATAAATCGATCTGTGAAAAATCCATTAAGGCAAAATTTCCTTCACTTTCTGATAGTAATCAAAGTAAAGACCTAGGGATTCGAGTCTTTCTGATCAAATGAGGCTAGTTTTCTGGATTTCTGAAGGCTATATCTGAAGTTGGCATTATGAAATTACGGTGTATTAATTAAACCATCACAGAATCGCTCTGAATGAAAGGGACCTCAGGAGGTCTGCAGCCTGATCTCCAGCTAAAAGCAGAGTCAGCTATGAGGCCAGACCAGGTTGACCAGAGCTTCATCCAGTTGATAAATACAGTTTCATATTACTATGTATATTATTAACAATACTACATTTACTTTTGTAAGTGCCTTCAACTGAAGAAAGTGCTTAGAAATGACTCATCAACCAGCCTTTTTGAGGCCTGCCATTACAATTCTACCGATGGTGGGGGAAGGCAGAGGGCAAGCACTGACCCAGCTGGGCTGTGCACCCCATGGACAGAACTGGGTTCAGTATTCAGTAAATGCAGCTCCCCGCCTCACCTTGCCCTGCTCAAGCAGTGTTTTCGTAAGCTTGTTCACTATTGCTTACTTTTAAAATACCTTAAAAACACTCATTTCTGTTGGTCATAAAAGCAAAGCACTGGGATTATTATGGAAGAGTTGTAAAATTCAATACATTAGAATTGTAAGCTCCATTACAACTAGGTTTGGTATTTATGGCTCACCGATATTAAATACTTGATCGGGTGTATTCTGAAGGCAAAGCACAAGGCACTAGCGCTACAGCTGCCAAAGAGACCTTGCACAGCCACTCTCCAGGCAAACGGCTCCGGAGCAGCTTAACTGCCCCGCAGCAGCGGCGGGCTCTCATCAAACGCTACTTTCCTCTGGCAGAGGCCTCACGCCAGCCACGGACGCTCAGCTCCCTCGAGAATTCGTCCCGCCGCGGGAGCCGGCTGGGGGCCCCGGGACGAGCC